TTCTTGGCATCGAATTTGATTCCACAGTATGCAGATAATCTTTATCTTCTCGTTAATTATTTTCAGTTGCAGAATATAATATATATGCTGAAGTGCGAGATGTAACAAGAACAAATCCGTCCAATTTAGATGTACAAAGAAATCGTGCCGATGCGATACAAATAAGTATACATCGTTGCGAAATCGGCTGTAAGCACGGTTTTTACGTTATTTATGTTAAAGACAAGTGTAATTATATACGCAAAATATTAAGTTTAAATATAATTTATATAATTAGCTGTTTAATTGAATATATAATTAGCTGTTTAATTGAAAATATTACATTAACCTGTATTCATTTGTATAATCATAACGCGTATGGCCAGTGACACAAAGACATAAATAATTTATGTTATTTCGATTTTTGGATTTTGGATTTTATATGGAACGAGCACTAAGTCATCTTATTGAGGAAATATACAGCAACGTGTTTCTTATATAGCCAATTTAAACAAGGTTCAATCTGTCGTATATTTATAGTAACTATATTTATTACCAGCATATTCTCTGATGAGGAATTATACCAAATTGTGTTTGCTACCAATAATATCCGTATTTTATTAATGTTATTGTTTATTTTACGCACATAAAAATATTTTGTTGCGTCGCTAGAAGCAGTTATGACGATTCTCACGATGAAGTTAATGAGTCTGTTATCGTTGTTGATTTGCGCAGCTTCTGCGACTGTTTCTTGCGACGCAGCATAAATAAATCATATACCATGAAAATAAATCTGTGAAAAGATCAAGAAAGGATTAGTCATAGCCTATAAAATTGCTATCTATTCGCGATAAATGCGTAATTCGTCGCAGCTCGCTCTTTATTTCGCCTTTGCGAGCGATAAGTCCAGAACGAGGGTAGAAAATAATGATCACAATGACGTATGAACGTGATTTCTTTCGCGTTGATAGCAGTAAGAGAAAATCATGCTTTTGATGCGTACGCGTCATGTATGATGTATACGTGAATGTAATAAGCGTGAATGTAATAAGCGTGAATGTAACGGAGTTACGATATCCTTAATTTCCCTTGTACTCCATTCACCATTGGTAGATAAGCAGCGCTTCGTGTAAAATTAAGTTATTGACCTTCATCTGCATATAAATGATACGAAAATCATATTTTTATATCTAAGTTACCTTTACATTTTGCTAATTATCTTTCGCCTATTATTATAATTAGAAATTACCGTGAAATTTAAAAAAATTTCCATTAAAATTATTCTTGAGCTTTAGATATGATATATATTTGTTATTACTCTAAATCATATATAAATATTATGTTTTACTTGAAATGTAATTGATTTATGATGACTTGGTAATTTGATGACACAAAATTAACCGTCCATCCGATTGAAAATGTGTTAGGATTTTCACGTCTGATGATTAGTTGATCACTATTAAATATCCTGATGAACAACCGTCGTCTCCTATAAACGAGATAAGGACAATTTGTGTTCCGGCATGCTTGTGAAACCCTCATAAATGTGCCTTAACTTGCAGTATCGCATGTTTGCTCGAGATGCGTGCTCGCCTCTCGTTGTAAGTAGCGTCTACCACTAACTAACAAGAACTAACTGTGGGTACATAGACCACCCTAGCTGCAACTGTGGGTCTCAATCAGGGTGACATCGTGTTTGCCATTTATACGATCGTTTTTTGCGATCGTGAAAGATATTGAAAAAAATAGATATTACATTAATATACGCCGAGTACATGTTAATAGTACATGTGCCGAGAGCAAGCGTGGCATAGTAGACAGCGCATTGGTCTATTATGCCAGAGATCCCGGGTTCGATTCCCGGCAGAGCCAAAATATTTACATTGGCAATAGCAAACCATCGAGAGTAACTTTGTCACATGAGCAGCATGTCTCTCTACCAAGAATTTACCATTCGAAAGCGTTCAGCGTTAAACTGTAGGTCCCATATACCTGTGTATAATCATCATATAATCATCGTGTGCACCACAGGTATATGAGAGAGGAAGAGAGAGAGAGAGAGAGAGAGAGAGAGAGAGAGAGAGACAGAGAGAAGAGA